GCCCGGCAGCGCCCGGATGAGCCGCGCGGCGGGTTCGGGCATCCTGCGGGGGCGCGCGTGACCCCCGAAGGATGCGCCCCGCGATGCGTTACCTCCTGGCCGTCCCGCTCCTGAGCGCCGTGGCGCTCGTGCTGCTGCACAAGGGGGAGCTGCCCGGCTCCGGGAAAGGAGCCCGGCCCGCGGCGTCCCTCCAGAGCGTCTTGCTGCGGCGGTCCTGCGACGCGCTGCTCAAGGGGAAGAAAGCCTTCGTGTGGGGAGCTCCCCTGCAGCCCGCGTCGCGGGGGCTCGCCTGCCGCCAATACCTGCTGCGCAGCCACTACATCACCCGCCCGCTGTCGGCCGAGGAAGCCGCCTTTCCGCTGGCCTACATCATGACCCTGCACAAAGAGTTCGCCACCTTCGAGAGGCTCTTCAGGGCGGTTTATATGCCCCACAACGTGTACTGCGTCCATGTGGATGAGAAGGCGACCGCCGAGTTTAAGCAAGAGGTGGAGACGCTTTTGAACTGTTTCCCCAACGCTTTCGTGGCCTCCAAAAACGAGCCCGTCATTTATGCGGGCATATCCAGGCTTCAGGCGGATTTGAACTGCATGAAAGACCTCCTGGAGTCAGAGGTTCAGTGGAAATACCTCCTCAACACATGTGGGCAAGATTTCCCCTTGAGAACCAATAAGGAAATAGTTCGGCACCTGAAAGGTTTTAAGGGGAAAAATATCACTCCGGGGGTGCTGCCTCCGGCCCATGTGATTTTAAGAACCAAATATATCCATAAGGAGCACATAGGGGTTGACTCCTCTTATATGAAGAACACAAATGTGTTGAAAATGCCCCCACCACACAATCTCACCATCTACTTTGGCTCCGCTTATATCGCGGTCACAAAGCCATTTGTCGAGTTCATTCTCCGTGATCAACGTGCTATTGATTTATTGGAGTGGTCCAAGGATACTTACAGCCCAGATGAACACTTCTGGGTGACACTCAATAGGATACCAGGTACGGCAGCATGATTTCTTTATTCATTCTTGTGTATAGAACAAGCTGGCTTGTGCCCTACTGAGTTAGGAAACAGAGAAAGGAAATTACTCAGAAATGGTGTCTGTGCTGTGACCTTCGTATTTGCTTTAGCTTAGGTCACCGTGCAGCATGCTCTTGTTTCTGTGAAATTCCATGACTTTCACTATTAGCAATTAATTAAAAAAAAAACACACTTAAACCTCCGTTCCTGTAGGGCAGGAGGAATGGTAAAACCGCAGGAATTTGTTGGTTTTTATACTTAGTAAGCATCACTGTGACACTGAGAAAACGAGTAGTCCTGTAGCACCCTAGACACTAACATATATAGTATCATGAGCTTCTGTGGGCAAAACTACTTCCTCGACTATTTAACTAGTGTGTATTGGTATGGCTTCATTGACTTTCCCTGACACCATTTTAGGAAGTGTCTATCATTTAAATCGCTTTAATTTTTTCCTTGTGATGCATAACTTTAGCATTTGTTTGGGATTGCCTTTCTGGCTTGTGGATTAAATCTATGTCCTCTCTGAATGGGGTTGTAATTGCAGTGTGCCAAATGGGGCCAAATACGAAGACATATTTCTGCTACCAGTTATCATTGAAAGACAAACTTTGCTGGCTACAGAGCCACTGTTCTATCCCTATGCATCTGCAGATCTAGTAACTTTTCTGGGTGGAGAAGTAGATGTGTGATCCACATGGGGGAAAAATCTCTGGTTCCTTCTTTCTACAATGTCATTCTTGTCCCATGTCTACAGGACTCCTACACATTGCCATGATGGAACATACTCTAGTAGTTTTGTGCTCCCTAGATCCATCCTGAGTAGGAATATTACTCTAATTCTGCTGACAGCAATTGTTGACTAACTGGAGGTGGGAATCTAGATTTGTTTCACTCTTCACAGAGCCCTCCAGAGTTGATTCTGTTAATTTAAATGTCTGTTCCTAACGCTTGCAGGCCTTACTCAAAGAGCTCCCATTGATGTTAGAGGGTCTAAGACTTAAGGATTGGCTCCCTTCCTAGGAGTAGTTCTGACAATAAAATTTATTTCAACTTATTTTTCCATTTGATTAGATAAAGAAGAAAAGACAATTGGGTTCAATACACAGCAGTTTACTTTAAAAGTGAACATAAACATTAAATTATAAATACTTCCTTGTGTACAAATAAGTGTTTTTCATATGCCAAATACATCTAATATACAAATGTCCTAGCAAAGAGAGTTGCAGAAGCTTGTTCAGCATAGACCAATCTGTTTGTTTGTTTTTACAGAATGAAGCTTTGATCTCAGAATATATACTAGTTTGAAATTCAAATCACATCACCCTCCATCAGGCTGCAGCATCTATGTGCAGAGACATCTGAATAAAGATATGTAGGCTCATGCTATATAGGTATCATGTTAAATCAGCACATATGCATGCCAAAACAGAGGCTATGGCTGGCTGGCGAGCTCATGGAGTCATACATACAAGGATGTGAAAGAAAAGCATCAATTTCAAATGCAGCTAGTTAGCATTGCAAAATCTGTATTATCATCCACATTTCAATGAAAAAAGAAACCAAAGAGAACAGTCTTGCTGATAGACAGCACACAATGCTATTATATGGGTGTGATTCAAACTCAGATGTGAGTTCATTCCTTCCATTCCCAAGCTACTTGCCCTGAAGGGATGGGTCAGCTCAGGGAAATTAGGGGCTAAGTGCAATGCATGGGCAGGAGACTCCTTGCCTAGGACTGGGGTAATCAATTATTTTTATCAAGGTCCAAATTCCTTGGTCAGGGTTTAGTTAAGATCCAGACTCCAGAGAAAATAATAATAAAAAATGTGTGGTCTGTTGAAAAGTATATGGTAGTCCCAATTTAGCCCATGGTCTGTTATTGACTATCCTGGTCTATTGGAAAGGAGTCCCCCATACCTCTCCGAGCTCTCTGTGGCCAGCACAGCAGGGGAACTAGTAGGATATGGAGAGAGCCACCCTAACTGGCCAGACAGGTTTCCCTACCCGGAGGGTCTTTGTTGATTCCTTAGTTTATATTTCAGGTGCTTACTCATGACTCTGGGCACTTTCAGGATTAGTAATAACATAATGAATTTTTCAGTGGTTATACATTAATGTAATTGATCACATTTTAGGATCCCTGATTGTCAGTGAAGTAGAAAGGGGAGCTGATGTCTTGGTAGCATCTAAGGACTTGTTTACAATGGCAAGTTTTTGTGCTGAAACTGTGTGTGTGTGTGTGTGTGTGTGTGTGTGTGTAAAATCACCCCTATTCTCTCCCCCCCCCCC